GTTGAGAGGAGAGTCCAGGTCAGGGACATAGGTGGGAATTGTCATCATCTGAGACAAGGCGACTGGATGAAACCACCCAGGGAGGGTATATAGAGGGAAATGTGACTGGAGAGATGGGCTGGAGCTCTGGGACACCCCAAGGTGAGGGGTGAGGACAAATCAGCCTAAACACAGAAGGAGAGGCTAGGAGGGGGAAAATGGGAGAGTGGGGCTGCAGATGTCCAGAGAAGACCAGGTTTCAACAGAGAGGGAGTGGCCCACATATCACATGCTGCTGAGAGGCTGCACAAGGGAAAGGCAGAATTGGCTGCTGGATTTGTCAAGGCGGATGTTGATGGCCTTCAGAAGGGCAGTCTCAATGGAGTGGTGGGAACAACTAATTCACATGGGGGTGAGGACAGGACACAGCTGGGGCCACGTTTGTGGAGGAGTCTCAGTTGGAGAGGAGCAGAGGCAAGGGCCAGTAGCTGTGAGGATGAGGGCCAGGAGAGACAGTGCTGAGATGTGTTTGTGCAGGGGTGAATGAGTTGAGAGGGAAGAATTTTTTTTTTTTCTTTTGAGACAGGGTCTCACTCTGTCACCTAGGCTGGAGTGCAGTGGTGCAATCATGGCTCACTGCAGTCTTGACTTCCCAGGCTCAAGCAATCCTCCCACCTCAGCCTCCCAAGTAGCTGGGATTACAGGTGTGCTTCACCACATTCAGATAATTTTTCTTTTTCTTTTCTTTTCTTTCTTTTTTTTCTTTTTGTAGAGACAAGGTCTCACTATGTTGCCCAGGCTGGTCTCAAACTCCTGGGTCAAGCGACCCTCCCACCTTACTCTCTCAAAGCGCTGGGATTGCAGGTGTGAGCCACTTCACCCGGCTGGAAGGAATTCTTTACTGGGGTGGAGGCTGCCTGGGAAGGAGGAGGTGAAATCTGATGCAGGAGGAGACTGGCACGCCCTGGATCAGAGCAGGGAGAGCTCACCCAGGCGCAGGTAGGCAGGTGAGTTTGGGGTGGCTGGAGGAGATCGTCCTCAGCTGACAACAGCCTTTGCCACCCGCTCTGTGAATTGATCATTAACATTGACAGATACAGGTGTCTAAGATTAAAGGAGACAGCCTCTGTAACAGCTGTCAGCTTTCTTGCACTATTCCGGAGGTCTCACACTGAGTCTGTCCTAGGGAGCACAAGTCTTAAGGGGTGGGTCTGAGAATCTAGATATTTGTAAGTGTTTAGTTTAGTGAATCTAGTAAGCAGTCAGGCTTGAGGGTGCCTCAGAGGGGCTCACAGTACTCTTAAGATCATCAGTAATATTATCTGAGTATCCAGTGTCCAATCTGCCTGTCGCAGGGCAGTGGAGAAGGTGTACAGGATTAGGGGGTCGAGTTCTGATTTCTCGCCAGCCCTTTATTCCCGCTGTCTACAGATTAATGAACACATCATTTTGCCCAACCTCCAAGAACCCTCAGAACCCGGCCGCTGCATTCCTCTCCTGCCTGACCTATCTGGACGGTCTTATCACAAATTTTTCTTACCCCAGAACCTACACCAGTGAAGATTTGCCCTGTGAGGCCTCAACGGGTAGAACCGAGACCCACAGGCCCATAGATGGGAGCTACAGAGAGAATATTTTGGCTTGTCCTGAGAAATTAAACAAAAAAAAAGGTTTTGCAGTCAGGATGCTTCTGCCCTTGGATGGAAGGTCAAAGAGAGAGGCAGCATTTCTGGGGCCCAAAGCTAGGGTGATGTGGTGGAGGGGGCAGGGGGCAGGGACCACAGAGAGAAGGCTGGAGCCACAGAGGAGCTGCACCTGCGATGGTCGCAGAGGGCGGGAGTGGGGCAGCTTGCTTTTCCCCATCCCAGCCCTCCATGAAGGCCTCTCCTTGGTCAACACCCCAGCCCCTAGGAAGCCAGAACCCTACCAAGAGTGGCCAATCCTACCAGGAATTCCTCCTATGAAGCCAGAAGACAGGGGATTCAGGGAGAGCAGTTCTTTTTGAAACAGAGCAGATACTAGAGAACAAGCAGGCAGGAGACGCACAGGTCCCGGGTGTACACGCCTGTAGCCTTGATGCCTTTACTTCTACAAGTCAGGATTGCTTTTTAATAAGCTTTTGTGGGACAATGTATTTTCTGCCTGTGTTCCTAATTAGACTGTAAAGTCCATGAGGTGAGAACAGGAATGACTCCCTTTCCCAGCGGAATACCAGTGTCTGACACTCACTGTTTGCTGACTGAGCTGGAGAACACGCTTTCAGCCCGGGTTCCCCACTCCAAAGCCTTATCTCCCACCCCTCCTCTCACCCACTGCCCCACTTTCTCCATAAGGAAACTGGAGGTTCCTTAGAGACCCGCAGGGAGAGCCAGGAACTCTGAGCAGTGTCGTGTGTGGCTGCTGTGTGTGGAGGTTCCACCAACAGAAACGAATACCTTCAGGCTCATCTTGATTGCACCCAGAGCTTGTGACCTTGCTTACAGAATCAGGAACCTGCATCTTGAATGGAGGTTTTAAGTGTCTGCCAAGTCAATGACTTTCTATTTTCTACCATGAGGTCCATTTAAATGAATTCTTTAAAAGCAAAATTATATTTCTTTTTGAATAATTAATACATTCCTGTGGCTGAACTTTCAAAGGGATCAAATGAATATAAAGTGAAGGGTTTCCTTTCCATTTCTGTCCTCCAGCCATTCTGCTCCCCTCCTTGGAGGCAACTGGTGTTACCAGTTTTTTGTATGTCTTTTCCAAGGTTTGTGTCTAATCTACACACACAGAGATGCACACACACAGACACTTTTTTACATAAATTGTTGCATATTTTACAAAAAGTTCTGTACCTTGCTCTTTGTACTTTGTGTATCTTGGAAATCTTTCCATATCAGAATATGGAAAGCTGCCTCTGTTTTAATGTCTGCATCATGTCCCAGCATATGGATGTATCACAATTTATTTAAATAGTCCTTTATTCATGGACACTTGGGTTGTCTCAACCACCGGCTACTGCAGTGAGCAAGCTTTGTACTATCGTCGCTGAGCTACAAAAGTCATTGACCATGGAATTCTCCAGGAAGATCTAGAAAGAGAATAAAAATTAGTGGAAAGTTTGAAACAAATCAGAAAGAGTAGATAGGGCTCTGGACTAGAAGTCAAGGGATGTAACTCCTACAAGTAATTTTAAAAATTACTTTTAAGTTCAAGTTCCTAACTTCCCACAATTTACTTATCAAGTTCCTAGCTTCCCACAATTTACAAAACAATTTAATATCTGTTAACTCATTGAGTTTATAGGAAAAAAATAAGCTGTAAAGGGCTAAAATGTTTCCCGAACTCCTTGACTCACTGACTACATGACCTAAAACAAGTTTCTAGGCTGGACGCGGTGGTTCATGCCTATAATCCCAGCACTTTGGGAGGCTGAGGCGGGCAGATGACCTGAGATCAGAAGTTCGAGACCATCCTGGCCAACATGGTGAAACCCCGTCTCTACTAAAAATACAAAAATTAGCTGGGTGTGGTGGTGCATACCTGTAATCCCAACTACTTGGGAAGCTGAGGCAGGAGAATCACTTGAACCCGGGAAGTGGAAGCTGCAGTGAGCAGAGATTGCACTAATGCACTCCAGCCTGGGCGGTAGAGCGAGACTCTGTCTCAAAAATAAAAATTAAAAATAAAACAAGTTTCTAGCTTGCCAGCAACCTAGTTAACTTGTTTATAAAATAAAGATTATAAAAGTACCTATCTCTTTGGGTCATTTTAAGGATTAAATGAACTACTCATGGAAAGTACTTAAAACAGGGTCTATCCTATAGCAAGAATTCAATAAATGTGGGCTTTTAGGATCATTTTGCAAAAGTGAGGAAAAGAAAACACAGAGCAATGAAGTTCAGAGTCTCCTAGCTCCTGAAGGATAGAGCTGGTGCAGGAATCCAGGTCCCCAGACTTCCAAACAAGTCAAGTATTTGAGCCATGAGGTCTTAGGCATGTGTTTATAAAACAGTGATGGCAGTCCTGACACAGAGCTGTTAATAATAATTATTGCCATGGAAATTTCCCTGATCTTCTTTGAGAGGATTAGTCCAGTCATGCACTTAGTACTGTAGTTCATCAAATCTAAGATGCCATTGGGTCTAAGGAGTATTGTTATTTTGTGAGTCACTGGAAAGGAAAGGAAATAAGGAAGGGAGGGAGGGAGGGAAGGAGCCAACTAAAGTTGTAGAACGCTATGCTGCTTGTCAAGCTGTTGTCTCCCAGCTCCACACTTACATTTCTAGGTTCGCTCTCCCTCTGATGCTGGGGCTGGGACCTGCACCCCTATTTGTCCTTTGCCAGTAGGGGCACTAGAGGAGAGAGAAGAGACTTGCTTTTTCAGGTTTTTCTGAATTTCCTGCCAGTCCCAGTGATGACATTGGCAATTGATTCCAGCTTCCAACTTTTGTCCATTTCCAGAACCAGAATCATATTGCTCCTCAGAGGAAACAGTCCAGTGGACAGTGCCCACTCTCAGAGGTCTTCGGGGCCCTCCTCCAGGCCCCTGAGGTGTCAGCCCCACATGGGAAACATCCCTTCTTTAGAGGTCTTCCTTTTTGACATCTCAGTTCTCCAATATCTGCTTAACCAATTCCCTATGTTAAATTCTCTCCATTAAAGTACCTCGAGTGGTTTCCATTTTCCTTCCTGGACCCTGACTCATGAATTATAAGATGACCATTGACTTCAGAAATGTTAAATGATAGTCCTAGAATTAATGCCATAAAATACTACCACAGGGAATTCGTAGATGTCAAGGCTGATGGTGCCTTTGGAAGTGACCTAGTAGACCCTAGGGCTGAACCCAGGGGGATGAAGTGCCTTGCTCAAGGTCACACAGCCAGAGGTGGCAAGGCCAGTGCTCCCCACACTGTGCTTGAGTGTTACTCTGCTCACCCTTCGGAAGGGCCTGGCGCCTGCTCCTGGGATGGACAGTTCAGTGACACGCCTCATGGTGAGACGTCTTCATCAAATCTCTCCTTTCTTTCCAGGAAGCACACTTTGCTGGCTAATAATGGGTTTGCAATTTCTGCTGCATTGCTGATGGCCTGCTCACTCCAGGCAGGAGCCTTTGAAATGCTCATCCCGGGACGCTTCATCATGGGCATAGATGGAGGTGAGAGTTCACCATGATGGGGAGGGAACAGTAACATACTCCTTGGGGGTGTCCCAAATGTGAGAAGTGTTTGGGGCTGTCATATGACTGGGGCTCTCTGCTGGTATTGAGTTGGCAGGGACCAAAGATGCTGGAACTCTGCATAAAGTGGGACAGTCCTATGGGATGAACCATCCCATTCATGATGCTCTAGCCCCTAATTGAGGAATGCTGGGCAGGGTCCCCAGTCTACCCGCAAAGACCTGGATGGTCTTCAGCATGTCATGCCTTCCGCTTGGTCACCTTCATCATAACGTTCATATTCCAAGGTTATTTGTGGTTTTCAGGGGGCTTTTGTGAGGATGGTGTTTCTTCTCTGGGCCTCTGACTCATTCGTTGTTTCATTTACTCACCAAGCATTTGTGGAGCACCTGCAAGGTCTGGCACACTGTAGGATGGAGACACAATGATTAACAAGACCCTGTCCCTGGACAGGGACAGAATGGAGCTTACATTCTAGTGGGCAGAGAGATACATAAGGTAGATAGTAGCAGGTCCTAGGAAGAAAACAAAGCAGGGCAGGAGGGTGGTGAGGGCTGTTTTAGAAAGGCCAATCAGGGAAGATTGCTCAGAGGAGGAAACATGAGCGGAGACCAGAGGAGCCAAGTGTGAGAACTGTTCCCAGCAGAGAGAAGTGTATGATGTCCCAGAGGCAGAAGGAGGCATGGCACGTCTGAGAAAGAGCAAAGAGATGCGTGGGTGCTGATGAGGCCAAAGAGGAGCTGGAGCCAGATCACACAAGACCTTGTAGGCCACGGCGAGGACTGTGGGCCTGTGCCAAGTGTGCAGGGAGGGTTGAGAGGAATGTGACATGGACTGGTTTGTTCCAATAAGGAAGTGTGAGGGGAAGCCTGGAGTGGAATCAGAGGAGCCACCTGTTAAGGGGAAGGGACTGGGCTGGACGGGGAGCTAGGGAGAAGGGGACAGATCCTGGCTATGGGAGTGAGAGTAGGAGACAAGATATATTGTCAGACAAACTCTGCTCTCTTTCTAAATAGGCAAATCCATAAAGTGTCACTTTTAGGCATTTGTGGAAAGATTGCAAGCCTTAGGATTAGAAATCTCTGAGTTTGGATCTCAGTTCTGCTGCCTGCCAATTTCTGATTTGTACAAGTTACTTAATGGCTCTGAGCCTTGGTTTTCCCATTTGGAAAATGGAGGTAATAATACCTTCTTTGAAAGGCTATAATAAGGCTGAATGGAAACTCTCTCTCTCTCTCTCTGTCTCTCATACACACACACACACACACACACACACACGAGTCCACCCTTCA